TCCGCTGCTCTCGTCCGCTCTCTCTCTCCGCTCGCTCTCTGTCTCTCGCTCGCTACCGTCGGGTCGCTCACTCGCTCACTCACTCGCGCTCGCAAAAACTAAGCTAACTCGATCGGATATATTTTTCGATTGTTCGATTCAAAACGATTGTCCCTCGGTCTCGGGGGTGTGCGTCTTATATACCCCGGGGCCGTGTTAACAAGAGAAGTCGTCGCTAACCCCTTGGCCTATCGGTGAGGCCGTTTCGCTTAGATAACCGAATATTTGATCCTTCGAATATTGCTAACGGTTGTTCCGGCGGTCGCACCGGACACGTTGTTGTTTTTGTCGATTGTCGATGTTGACGCTTCTCTCTCGTCGCCCCTGCCCTTGTAGGTCGTATTAACCGTTGCTCTATGATTTCTCGATGTTTGTTCCAGCCTTGCTTCCTCGGTAGGTTTCCGAGTGCGGATTTCAGGTGGCGGAGGCGAATTTTTGTGATAGGGGCGGGCGAGTGCAACTGCAGTCGCCCTGCCACGTCACAATATATACTATGTGTATATATATACTATATAGAATTACCTTACTAAACTTTTTTACTATCTACCTAGCAAACAATTTCTGACTGTACAGACCTTGGCAACAGAAACTGTGTGCAGAAACGCTACAATACGGAAACATGCTGTGGTGCTGCCAAAACTGTTAACACACAGAAACAAAGGACGCAACATGGTCACCAGAACTCATAAAATCATATCCTAAAGAGGACACAGATAGATATGGATTTGGTCTACAAATTTCACTGGCAATTGGCGACAAAATCGCGACATCTCACAACCAAATTGTTTGCTGGGTAGTTAACAATGATCTTTCAATTATCTATTTTTTAAATGTATTATTATTTACCTTAATATTTTTCGAAAGAACACTTTCTGGGAACGGAAAAATCATCGACATTTTTTCAAGAGCATTAAAAACAGGATACCACGCTGTGTAAGAATTGTTCACATGAAATAAACTGCTCGCAATGTCAAGATATATGTCTAAATCACTATCATATAAAGCAGGACCTTTGTTATGCTTTGTATTTTGTGTTAAAAAATAAAAAGCATCGTCGAGTAGTTGTGCTAAAGTGACGTCAGACAATTCTGCGATCATAGGCCCTTTGTTTTTTAGAAAAAGAGCAATGTGTTTCCAAGATTGACGGTCATAGTTTACGCGATATCCTACAACAAAAACATTGTTTAAAGAGTCAAAGTGAGAAAGTGCGAGAAACAATCAATAAAATAGAAGCATTAACTGTAATAAGATAGTGAAAAGTTTTACTATAGTACACATATATGTATAGTAAATAGAAAACTCATAATTCATGTGTGTTATTACATTACCTGGGTTGTCTACGACAATAGTAATCTGATTTTTATGAACAACAGATGTAAAAATAGGTTTTCCGTCTGGTCTTAAGACATGATGATGGATACCAAGAACTTGCGTGTTTAATAGTTTTTTAAAGGTCACGGGTATCCACCACTTTTGCTTGCACGGCTTGGTGTAATCGACGTCAAAACAATCTATAATCATTGCTGACACAGACTGTCTATAATTGTCTCGGGTTACTTGTACCACAGGATAACCACTTTGTGCTGTCCATGAAGTTATCATATTTTTGATATCTGACGACTCCATGAATGGAGACTTATATAAAGAATTGGCTTCCAAAATCCAGTATTTATTCCATAACTTATCGAGAATTGGCAGTTCATCGTACACAGTAAAAAATCGTGCGTCAAAATGTAGAACTTTTCTTGTGTTACGACGTTTTGATTATTACTTCAATGTAAAATTAACATAATACTGATATGTTATTATTTTTTTAATCTTTTCACG